TCCTTACTGGGGGCAGGAGCAAGGTTAAATTCCGGATTAAGGATCTCTGCCACTGGTCAGTGTGTGCGCCTCTGGGAGCCGGCCCTAGGTGGGAGCAGGGGAAGTGCTTCTCAGTAGAGTGAGATTTTGAAGGCGTCTGTGTGTGCTAGCGTTGTGAGCGGTAATGGGGGCAGCTCACTCACTGCCCTGGTCTGGAGCGTCTTCACAAGGCCAGGCTGCGATTCTGACCCTCGCTGAGGTGCTCTGGCTGTCCTGACCCCCGAGAAAGTGCTCTGGCGAATGTGTCCAGAATCCCGCACCAGCCGCTGTTACAGGGCCAGGCAGCAGCAGTGTGAAGGAGGGAGTCTGTGTGTGCTCACACTGAAGGAAGAGTAGGGAGAGATCAGCTATTTTTAGCAACAGAACGCGGTGAGAGGTCCGAGAGAGCGACTTAGGAATGTCTCAGCCGTAGGGCCGGACTGAAGGCAGACAGCAGTGGGTTGCAGATCTGTGGTAAGTTAGAGCTCCTCGCGTTCCTTAGACTCCTTGCATGGCCTTGTGTAAGCACGGAGGGTGGACGAGTGCCCCTGAGCCATTACAGTGCTTTTGTTTCTCTCCCACTGTCCGAGGACAGAGAGATTTTAATCCAGGTATGAGGAGACGCTGAGGCACGAGGAGCAGGTCTCCTTGAGCGTTTCTGTTCTAGTTTTTGCAGAGGCAGTTTGGTGAACACGTGGATTGCAGCGATTTTAGGTTGGCTCAGCCCAGCATTGGGCAGGGTTCAGTGCTTGCTGGCAGCACTCCCAGGAGCAGAGCAAAAGCTGGACTTCCTTTCTCAGGCTGTATCTGCTGGAGTCACGTACCTGGGACTGTGCCTTCCCGCACGCTCCTGGGCTCTGTCTGCAGGAAGAGAACATGGGAGACATTGATAGATTTGGAAGTTAGCTTCTGGACATGAAGCAGGGAAGATGGACAGGCATAGGTTATAAACAGCAGGCTGAATTGAAGTTGCTTCAGGGGAAAATAAGGACATAATTTTCTGTTAGCATGCTGAAACAGCTAATCCCTTTCTCTATGTCTTGACTGGTGCACTCCAGATTTATCTTCCAGGCAGGAAATATTTGAAAATTGCACCTTGCACAAGTACAAAAGCAAAGTTTTATTGGAACAGTTTTAGTAATTTATCTGATAAGCCTCCTGGGCTGGGCCTGCCAGGGTAGAAAGTCCAGCGCTCTGAAGCAGAAGAATCAGTTCAGTGTGCCTATTGGCATTCATGTCTCACGTGATATGGAAGGGGTTATGAGACGCCCTTTGCTGCCGGCTTGTTAAAATGGAGAAACAGAACGGTTGTGATGGATACATTTTTTTTGTAGTCAAATGGTTTCTGTTAGTTTAAAGTTCTAATAAACTATCCCTGATTTTATTTTGTGCAGATGTGTCACATTACCCAAAGAAGTTCAACTTTCTTCTTTCCAAAAATATGTAGTATATTTTGGCGGTAAGTTGGAGAGTCACATTGTTGTGTAGCGGGTAAAGAAATAGTTATTGGGTGAACATAGTAGTTACACCTCTGAGCTGTAAACCTTGAAAATAAGGTTATTTACTCCAGTGTAGACTGCTGCTGTAGAGCTGAGTCTGAATCTCAGTTGTTCATCCTGGAGAGTAATGGGTAAAGCAAGAATGCTGCAAGAAATACATGTGGGTCACTTTGGAAAAGGAAACATTAAAAGCAGAAGAAACTTCATCTCCAGGAAATAAACAAACAAATCTCCTAGGCTAAATGCATCTTAATGCATCCAGGTGGAGCTTTCACCCTTTTGTGATGAACTTTCCTAGCATCATCATGCTACCTGGGTATGCAGCTGGGTATACAAAGGAAAAAATACCAAATCTAAGTCAGGAATATTTTTTCAGGAGTTTGCAAGAGAGGGAAGAAAGTAACAGAATAGTTGGGTTGCCAGAAGTGAAGGCTCTATCTCCAAGTGTGGGCTACGCTATCTATAGTGTATTCAAAAGGAATACAAGGAGAGCAAGGTAGTGTTCTGTGTCTCAAGAAGACTTCTGGGATCTGCTAAGGGCAGAGTGTGTGTGTTTGCCAAATGTGCTTTGCCAGGTCCCAAAGGTTCATGGTCATCAATGCATTGCTCTGCTGTCCTTGCACCTTACTGTCTGTCTGAAAAGTGTGTTTTGATGCCTTCATATATTTTATCCATTTGGTTAAATGTGGTGTGAGGGGAGAGGGAGAGAAAGAAATCCTTTCAGATGTTTCTGTTTGGGGAATCGGGGAACTTTACTTCTAACAAGACTACTGACTTGAAAAACACTGTCACCAGGTTTCATCATACAAGTACATCCCACTGGTGCAGCTGCAGTAAGACAATTAGTGATGAAAAATACCAAGACCCTTTTCAACTAGGTAGAAAAGACTTGAAGAATCTCTATGAAGATATTAAAAAGGTAATGGATTGTGGTGACTATGCTGGGATGTCATGATGATTGTTTTTAATAGAAGCCATCAGTTTTGAGGATATTTATTGAAAGAATGTTATTTATGTTTATGAGCAGCTGTCTGAAACTGAAAGCAAACAGAACATTTCTCATATTTTATAGAACCAGAATGCAATTTTTTCTCCTGATTTTCAGTGCTGGAATGCATAACTTATATTTCAGGTTACTCATAGTAATTTTAGAAACAACTTGAGCTTACAATGGGTGGAATGAATGCAGGCAATAACCTTATACATGCATACTGTTTTACTTACACTAAACAGACTATGTGACTTCTATGCTGAAATGCTCTTGTCCTTTTTTATAGGAATTGCTGGTCTCTGCAGCAGAACTTAAGGAAATGTGTGATTATTACTTCGATGGGAAGGGAAAGGCCTTTCGACCAATGATTGTGGTGCTAATGGCTCGGGCTTGCAACATTCACCATAATAATTCCAAGTGAGTTGGTCACTTTCATATACACACATCATATTTAAAAATTATCATTCTTGTGTCTCTGAAAAATACTTTATGAAAATAAAATGCTCCTCAGTAAAACCTGAATTTAAGTTCCATCTTGAACCTGTACTTTTGTAGTTGTCAGTGCAAAAGGAACTGCTGGGTTTATTACATATTTCCATGTGTTAAATTGTGGAGTATACTGCGCTTGTAACCAGGGTGGATAAAAATGTTGCCGAATTACGATATTTGTAAGGTTTTTAGTCAATTCTACCTTTTTGCATAAATGCTTTATTAGAACCTTTGATATTCTTTGAAACTATATAAACTGTATTAAGTATATTTCATTTGTAACCACTCCTGTTCCTATTAAACTCTGGTCACAGGTAAGAAATTTGCTGTGAGAAGAGGCCTTCATAGATTTTTTTAGTAATTATGCAGAAAAGATATTAAACAGGTGGTATGATTGTATTCAGAGCAGTGAAATTTTGGAAACGGTCAAGAGGTTTTTTCCCACCCTCTAGTAGCAAGTTTCTAGGCTTTATGTAAGATCCTAAGCTTATTAGACTGGCATAGTCCTCGTGATCTCCAAGTTACATGTCTTTTGAAAGCTGTTTTAACTGAGCAGAAGATCATGCTTGGCCTGTTTCTCTATCACTCCTGAGTCTGGCTTGTTGCAAATGCTTCACTCCACATGTTCCTGTCAACTGCTATGTTTGCATTTTGAGGAAAGGTGTTGGCTGCAGTGTTCTCTGCCTTCCAGCTATGCTTCCAGTGTTGACTTGTATAGAATTTCAAATAGGTAGTCTTTGGTCCCTTTCCAGAAGTGGTTCTAGGCTAATTTGTCAGTAATTTGTCAGAAATTAAGGGTAATAGCTAATTTGTCAGAAATTATGGAATTTCTCTGAGCTCTTGCACCATTTTCTTTCTGTAGGAGTAGTTTAATGCCTTGTTGGACTTGATTACTACCTCAGAATATGGATATTTTGTTGCATGGATAGCCCCTCTCCCTGTATCCCGTTCTGTGTGAATATAATTTTGAAGGAGAAAGCAAAACTGAGATGGCAGTGTCCTGTCTTATGTGTGCCAGTTCCCTTTATTTTAGGAAAAATCATCCAGGATTAATGAACTTTGCTTCAGCCTGTTTCTGTTGTCAGCTCGGGACTGCTTCTTGTCATTAATTTCGAGATAGTAAAAAGAACAGTACTGGTTGTGAAAATCCTCAGGGATGCCTTTTGCCAGTGGCTGGCTTAATATTTTCCTGATTGGTCTTGACATGAAAAAAGGGAGTTTGAGGATGGCACTTTTTGATGGCAAAATCATTCTTGATGATCAGCCATCTATGGTGAAATGTAAGGAAGCACAGTAAACCAAAAATTTCTGCTTGAGCTTGTAGGGTCTTGGGTGTCCCATTAGGGCATAACCCAGTGTGGTTTGTAACCACTTTCATTATGAAGAACCTCAGAGATACCCTAGCATGCATCAGCCATCCAGTTCAGCTACAGGAGTGTATATTGCTCTTCGTGAAATCATCAGCATGTCCGATCCCTGTGTTCAAAATAAGGGAAGTCCAGCTGACTTCAGGGATGGATTGCAAAGATAACCATGAAGATTGAAGACTTGTGGTCTACAAATTTATCAGAGCAGGGTGAAAGAGCTACTTACAACAAAGCATTATGTTGCTAAGAGAATGGAAATTTAGGAGGAGACTTTTAACAAAGGGGACAATGATTTTTGGAGCATCTTTGGAGTCAGAATAACAGTAAAAATAGTTACATCTCATTCTAGTATGTCGCATGAAAAGCTTATGAACAAAATCACATGTGCAGTACTGAGAAGGCTGGAACTGATGTCATACAGTGTGGGAGTTGAGCAGTGAATCAAAGAGAGGTAGCAGTGGAAAGACTGAATTTGCCTCTATGCTCAAAGCATATTTGCTGTCTTTTGACATATGTGTATGCTCATGGACACATTCTTGTCCACATGTTATGCTGTCTCAAAACTGTCAGGACCAGTTTTGAGACCTGCCCTATGCCAGTAAGAAAGTGCCACATAGGCCTGGGGCAAGTGTACTGTTTTGCAGTAGCCAGCCCTTGGTGTAAGTCCTCTGATTTCTGGATGCCTGTGTCATTTGGTAGTGTTTGTACATCTGTTGTGGTTCTAATCAGCACCTCCAAAGTATGTTCAGTGTTTAAAAGCTTCCTCAATAATCTGAATGTTCCTAGTACAAACCAGGCTGAGTCAACATCTTTGTCATGTTGCTTTTAGAATGAAATTCTGAGTGGCAAGAACAGAAATGTTTCAGCAAAGGAATGGAATGAAATCTCTGGGTATTTACCTTCCTCTTCTGTGCCCTGTGCCAATGTGATTGTAATTAAATATCCCACACGTTGATACAAAGTCTTCACTGTAGTGCTTGTTGGTTCTTGCCTGGTGACCAATGCTTTTGAGGGTTGGCAGGGCTATGTTAAAGGAATTTACATTTGTACTGTGGATACCCAGGTCCTGTGAGCTGATAAAATTTTATGGGCATTTTCTTCTCCTTTGCTTTTAAGCTGCTTGGAGCAGGCTGTCTTACACCCTGTCTGTGTATACATATACTTCAGTTCACATGGATACTATGATTGCGTCATTATTGTTCTTTCTTAAGGCAACATTGTCTCCAGGTGACAGATTGTTCTTCCAACTTTTTTATGTTCCTGAGGAAAATTGGGTATGTAGAGAAGTAATACTGCATATTTTTAACTTTGCTACTCTTCTGCAAACCTGACCAGAAAAATATTTGCCTTACATTCTGCTTCTCCCAGTGTATTTAAAGGTATTTTTCCAGTTTCAATTTGTCATGTCTCTTGAAACATTTTATCATTCTTTTCCTCAGTTAATAATGACTCTTCTCCCAGGCTTATTTTTCTTGGTTGAGGCTTTGGTTCCCACACATGTAATTGAAGAGACTGACCACAGTATCTGTAGATTTGTAGGGTGAGCCAATATCCTCTGCTGTTCATCCCAAGCATTTTTTTAAAATTTTGCCTCTGGGGTTTGTACTGCTGATGTTCAGTTTCTTCTTCATCTTGCTGCCCTTCTCAACTGTAATATAACTTGCTGGACCCAGCATGCTTTTCCCTGCTTTTTTGTTTTCTTTTCTTCTTTTGTGCAATTTTTGTATAAAATGTAATACTTCTTATTTGGCTGTTAAAATAACAGGACTCAATTTAGGAAGGCTCCAGGTCCTGATCTTACAGGGCAATCCCTACAAGGCAATCCCCTCTTTCTCTTCACTGAGTCCCTCCAGAGCAGCTGAGATTTGTCAGGAGAATGGAATGCCCAGGTGGCTCTGCTTGCAGGTTAGGTGACATTGATCATTTATGTTTAGGTTTGAATGAGGAGAGGTGTTTACTGTATCCTCAGCAGGGTGACTGTTTATCTAGATTGAGGTCACTTTATTCTGGTCATAATAAGGAAAATGACAGTTGTATAAAGAGTTCTCTCACTATTACCAAAAAGATAAGTGACTGAAGTGTGTTTATTTCTTTTCACTTGGAGTTTTAAGTGTCAGAAATCCTTCTACCCTAAGTCTTTAAGTCTCTTGGGCAGTGGCTTTTTGCTTATTGATAGCAACTTTGCTTTATGTGAGAATTGTTGAAAATAGTTAAAGCTGGGGTCATGCAAAGCCTGAATTTCACACATCCACTGGCATTTCTTCACATACCTGTGTGAAGAATTTCACTGAATCGTCACTTAGCCTGACAGGACATAGCGTTTCTGTATTCTCCAAAGGTGTTTGCAAATGAGTTTTTGTTTCTTTTCCTACAATCAAAAAGAGAAAGGCAAATAAGAGAGGACCAAAGAAGTACGAGGACAATAGGGAAAACTGAACACAAAAGTTTGGTGGAGGGGAGGGGAGGGGAAGGGAAATAAATTTATCAGAATAGTGTGAGAAACAAATAAAATGAGGTGGCTAAACTTGATGGAATATTTCCTAAGGATAGGACCTGCCAGCAGCCTTAGTTCCTTTTTTTTCACTCCTCCAAACCATCATTGCCAGAAGCCAGTGGTGTCAGCTGCTCTGCAGTTTTCCCTGGTGTTAACATATGCATTCTCTGTGCTTCCCCTAGTCTGCAGTGCCCTTCTGTGTCACAGACTCTGTTTCTGAGATGGTTGCTTCTTTCAGCCACAGGGCCTTAGCAGGAGAAAGATGCTTGGAGGACTGTGGTCCTCCACAAAAATTTTACAAGTTCTTATTTTCATTTCCTCTCCATAAACTGGCAGTGTTTACTTACTGGCAAACACATTGCCTCAAAGCTCTTTCTGGAGAGTCTAAATACTGGTTTGTGTAGTTTTTTGACCTTCAACATTGTCTGTTGGTTTTGGTTGTTTTTTGGTTGTTTTGGTTTTGGACAGGTATATTTGGAGGGAGATATTTGGGGTTTCTTAACCTGTATGGTCAGCCTTGGCTTGTTCAGTGTTCATGAAACAAGTTCTGTAATGGAAAATATCTCAGGGTACAGTAGATCTATAGAACTTTATCACCGAATCAAGCAGGGGGTCCTACTGAAAGATAGAACATGTTTAGTTGTATAAAATATCCATGTAAATATACATTATCTCGGGGCATCTTTACTTTGAGAATGACCTAAAAATGGCATCTTTCCACTTACTGGATTTGCAGGGACCCTGTTATCTATTGAGTTGAGTTACTACCACTTTTTGCTTTTGTTTTGCAGGAGAAGCTGAATGAAAAATGTCAAGGGATGAGAGGGATCCTTGGGTTTGTGTGTTTTCCCCTAAAATAGGCATGCTCTGATCTAGAATTAGTTTTGCAAGATGCATGTAGGAAACTACTGCAGATCTTTTTTTTGCCAGCAGTGGGAAGAGCCTTGCTTGAGACTTTGTGGAAATATTAGTTTTAAAACCCCTTCAGATTAATCTGAATTAATTGTATTTGATACAACATTCTGGAAACCGTGAACCGTGAACATTCCTATGCCATTTTTAGTCATTGTCAGAGATAAGAGAGTATAATGCAGAACTTTTCAGAACCTGCTTTTGAAGTAAGTGGTTTTGTGCTGTCTTCATACTACTGAAATATTTCAGTGTGTCAGTGAGTGTTGCCATTTACTGCTGCTTCCCAGCAGGAAATCCAGTCTGCTGACATAATTAATGAAAGAGGGAATCCCCAAAAGGAGAACAGTGCATGAAAGAGGCTGGAGACCTTTACAGTTTTTTGAAGGTAAGTTTTCTCCTACTTAGTAAGAGTAGTTTATTTTGGAAAACTACTTACCAAACTAGCATTTGATTAAATCACTGGTCCACATTAAGACTTGCCTCCAAACAACCATGAAGGTTTCCAGCTCTTATTTTCTGTTCTGTAAAAGCCATATTTTCACAGCCTGAGCTACCCATTCATCCTGCTATTGTTCAGGATATAGAACTCCCACTGACAGCAGTGCAGAATTCTGTATAGAGGTATGTGTCAGAATGCAGTGTTATGTCAGCAGACTGCAATATGTTCTTTCATTTTGTGATTAATCACATTTTAATGAACATAGGCAGTGCTTTCTTAGCTGAACTGAAATTGTCTTCTGTTTCTGTTCTTTTTCTGTTCTTCTGGAAAATAGTATGATTTTCTCTGTTGTGTGTGTACCAGAAGTACAGTATTTATAATTCAGAAGTAGTTTCTTTCTTTTGTTGTGGGTTTTTTATGTTAATGTTTTGTAGGGGGAGGTATTTTAAATGTCCATGTGGACTTGTTATACCTATGAGGTAAGGCTGACTGGGATAGCCATTCTGGGCTCCTGCATGTAATCCATGATAAAAACAGATAGCAAAATACCAGAAGATAGTGGCAACTGGATATTAAGGGAGATGGTCCTTTGTGTGAGCAAGGTTGGCTCTTTCATGTGCTTTTTGCCATTCTTGTTCTTTACATAATTGCTTCTGTGTTCTTCCATTACTTTCTTTTCACCTAGTTTAAAAAAACAAATGTGAACCACTGAGAGTTGAATCATCAGTGATAGATCTTCCCCAGAAGCTGAGTTCCAGTAAGTGTTGGGTAGTTGGTGTTTACAGTCCTAAAGTGGTTGCAGTAGAATTCTAGTTAACTCCTCAGTCTTCTCAAGAACCTCTGAGGTTTTAAGGTAATCAGGTAACATAAAGAACAAGATCTATGAATTATGTCTTTCAAATGTAGAATGCAAGTTTCTGTTCCTTCTGAACTCTCCACTTGCTGGTTAGTAGAGTTATCCAGCTTTCGAGAGTTTGTGATGTCACATTTCTAGGCAGAGGAACAGAGATAAAGAAAACTCATCTACAAAGCTACCAGGCATTATTTCCTCTGCTGTTTTCCAGACTTCCGTCTTGGAGCCAAGCATCCTTGATGCTGTGCTGTTTATTGCAGTCTGGATTTAGAGGAAATAAAGTCAGTAACACAGGAGTTTTGCAGTACTGTTAATGCAGCAATGCAGAAATAGGCCTAATGAGGATGGATGCATCCCTCTGCACCTACTGTACTAACGTGGTCTTACTTTCTCTTGCCTTCCTAATTCCAGGTTTAAAAGAAGGGGGTCAGACCAGGAAAAAACTGTAACAGCTGTTTCCAGAGAAACATTTTTTTATTTTGTTTTTAATAAAGATTTTTTAGTGTATTGCAGAATATAAAATTGATTTAATTATTTGACAGTTCTTGTTTTTTATTTTAGGGAGGTGCAAGCAAGCCAGCGCTCTGTGGCCATAATTGCTGAGATGATCCATACAGCCAGTCTAGTTCATGATGATGTTATTGATGATGCAAATTCTCGCAGAGGAAAAAGGACACTTAATCAAATCTGGGGAGAGAGGAAAGTGAGTTTGCTAATAAGTGCAGGACTTGCCTTTAAATTTCAGCAGAGCACAAGTACCTAGAAGTTTGTAACGTTACTATCTCTAGGTCTTGGAATATGTCAGAAAACATATGAAGAAGTGTGCACAGTTTGTGGGTGAGACAAATGTGTTTTCTAAAGTGTTGGAAGCATTAGATAATGAATGATTGAAGTGTGTAAGTGTTGAGCCTGTTCATCCTCCAGAAGAGCCAACTGAGAGGGATTCTCATCATAAGTACCTGAAAGCAGTGTCAAGAAGATGGATCCAGGCTCTTCTTAAGTAATGGGACAAGAAGCAGTGGACTAAAACTGATGCACAGGAAGTTCCACCTGAATATGAACACATTGTCCAGAGAGGGTGTGGAGTCTCCCTCACTGGAGAAATTTAGAAATCATCTGGATGCAATCCTGTGCCATGTGCTCTGGGATGACCCTGCTTGAGCAGGGAGGTTGGATCAGATGACTGGCCCCTTCCAACCTGACCCATTCTGTGATTATTACTGATTTTACATTCCCTGTGCCATTCTTGGCAGTGCTGTTGAAATACTTTAAACTTGTACCTCCTCCTGAATGCTGATTCCGTGGTGAGCACAAAAATGTTTACAGTCAGCGGGAAATTTTTTTTGAAATTAGTATTTTCTTCACAGAGGATTACAAGAAAAGTCTTCACCAGAAAATGCAAAGAAGGAACTTGGGGCAGTTCGGAGTTCACATGGTGCAACAAGAGAATGTGGCAACAAGCCACAAGAGAATGGTCAAATAGAGAACTAATGTTCAGAAAAACTTCATAAGCAAACACATACTGCATACATAGAGGACAGTTCTTATACAGAAAAATATAAACAGTACTATAAGACAGAGATTCAAAAATTACTCAGATTTCAATATTTGGTTATGTGGTTTTTTGCTCTTAAAATGAGATATTTGTGCTTTATGTAGAAAAGTTATGTTATGTGGGTAGATCTGACAAATAAGGGAAGTTGTACGGACTGGAGTAACACAGGAAAATACTTAAAGAATCACCTTGTTGTTGTTGTTCTTAGGCTGTTCTAGCTGGTGACTTCATCCTCTCAGCTGCTTCTGTAGCTTTAGCACGAATTGGAAATACTACTATCATCTCTGTTCTAACTCAGGTGATTGAAGATCTGGTGCGTGGTAAGGTTTTTTCCTATTTTTTTATCTTCCCAGTTGCTTGCCTAAGCAGTAAATCCACAAATAAAACCTCCAATCTGTACAACTTTTTAGGTGAATTCCTCCAGCTGGGTTCCAAGGAAAACGAGAATGAGAGATTTGCTCACTACCTCGAGAAGACTTTTAAGAAGACGGCGAGTCTGATAGCAAACAGTTGTAAAGCAGTATGTACGTCTGTCTCTTCTGAAATTAACATACCATACTGTAAGCTTCACAGCTAAACTCCTAGTATTGCTGTTTGCTCTGGAGACCCTCCAAAGCAAACCCTTGTAATGGTATTGTGCCAGAATGTGAATGGGTTAGATTGTGAATTTTATCACAGTTCAGCTGTGTAGCCTCCAATATTGGTTTTCACTTTCAATTTGCATTTTTTTATTTTTGCACGGATTTATTGTTATTCTCAATGGAATCAAAATAATGTTCAAATAATCATAATGGTGGCAATCTTCAAATCACAAAATTCTGCAACTTTGAGACAGTGGTTTTAAACTCAGTTGATCATTTTTGAGCCTATAATTTGATTTTGAATCTTCTTTGACATCTGTCCCTATTCCTTGGTGCCGAGTGAGACCTTAAATGTAATGGTAACAGTGGGAGGAAACAATTAATTCATATAATCAGAGAGTAAGCTGCATTGGAAGGGGCCCATCAAGATCATCAAGTCCAGCTTCTGTCCCTGCATGGGACACCCCCAGTGTCACACCACGTGCCTGAGAGCATTGTCCAAGCACTTCTTGAACTCTGTCAGGTTCAATGCTGTGACCACTTTCCTGGAGAGTCTTTTCCAGTACCCAGCCACCCTCTGTGTGAAAATATTTCCCTGATATCTCTACATCACATTGTAAAAAACCAGAAGCATGTACCTCTTGATTTGTCTGGGGGTTTTAATTATCAATTGCTTTATCCAACCCTGTCACTCCGTTCTCTTACTTGATTACAAATAGATCCAATTCAAGATTATGTTCTTACACAAAAATAGATGTTCAGTTTTAGTGCAGAAAATAGAGGTGGGTAATAATTTCACCCCAAAAGAGAGATTTGTTTATTCTTTTTAGTGAAAGGCAGTATAACTGATGGATTCTATAGCAAGCAGGAGTTCTAAGAGAATTAGACTAAAAATCTGTGCTAATGTTAATCATCTTCCTTTGTTCTCAGAGAACTGGTACATTTGTACAACAGTTGAAAATAGCTTATATCAAAATGATCACATAGAATGAGACACATGGATTTCAGGGGAGGGAAAACACCTTTTATTCTAGTTGGAGGAAAGAAATCAAGTCTTTTGGATTGCTCATATTAATAGCAATAGGACCCTGAAAATTTTCTTTTGCATGTCTTGTTTTGTATCAGTAGGCACCTGGACTAGTAGAGAGCATCACATTATTCTGCTACCCCAGAAAAAACATGCACAAGTTTTAATATTCATTTTGACAGTCTGCCTTAAAGAATCTTAGCAGATAAGAGAAATCACTTTCCCACTGGCTGGATTCTCCCTACAAATGTGCTGATTTAAGCTTTTTCCTTTTCATGACTTGCAAAAGTTAAGGATTTAAGCACTTCCCTCAAGGCTGTGATGCTGGTCAAGGGGGTGTTTGGATGCTTTTCTTCTAGCGGCTGGTCTGAGTTGTTCCACTGCTGAATTGCTGGAATTTCATATGCTGTAAAATTTGTGTTAGAAAGGAAAACTGAGAGAAAAGGTCTCTCATGGCAAATCCTTACTTGCTGCACATAGTACCAATGAGTTGAATACGTATGTTTCCCTCAGTTTCTTTCTGCATGGATTAGGAGAGCTCTATCGATAGCAGTTAAAAGGGATTTTTGTTTAGATGGCTTTGGCTACTGAGGAAATGGAATCAGAAGGGAGTTCTGCTTTCTGTAGAAAAAATGATAAGCAGCATCACCAGTTCTATCTTGAAAGGAAATTCAGTTAGGGAATCAATAGTATTCATATCTTGTTTTCAGGGACAAAATAAGAGATTATGGGCTTTAAAAGCAGTTCTGTTCCTGTTAATTATAGGAAAAACCCCATTTGTTGCTGTGGTTGAATAAAATACAAGTATTAACTGGAAAGAAGATGTCAAACAAGTTCAGGTGGCACCTTAGAATTCCATCCCACCTTAGAATGCCATGCTTTAGAAATGGAAGAGTAGAGTATTCCTGTAAAAAGATCTAAACACGACATTCACATTTAATTGATACATTCTGTACCACCAAAGCATTACTGGATTTAAATCAAAATTCTTTAAGTTAGGACTTAGGGACAGAACAGTCTGTTCAAGATGTTAAGAGCCATTCCAGTCTTAGGTTTATTTCTACAATAGTTCTGCATGGGGGAATGTTACCAGAGTTTTAATCAAAATGTATTGTAAAAGGAAACAGTGGCAGGTGGCCCAGAGTCATTGAAGCCTTAGTTACTGCAAGGCATTTTTCAGAGAAACATGAGGTGACTTTAGTTCAAGAATTCAGAAACAATAAAGCTGAAGTGGAATTTCTGTTTAGTCACCAGGCCAGCTGGAGATAGCAAAATAACTTTCTGTCCTTTTTTAAACACTACTGTAATGTAAATTCCTGAGTCTCATAAAGCTGTTTATATTTGGTATACTTTCAGATGAGGGATTAAATTGTGCTTGCTAAAGGTGCACTAGAGAGTCTTGATTTCCATATTAGGAGGAAGCCTGTGCCTCCCTTGTGTAAGGCTGTGGAAGGGACTGAATAAACCAGTAGTCTGCAGCTCTGGATCTACCTGTGAGTTCCTGCTCCAACCAGTTCCTAGTTTGGTCACAGGGCTCCATCAGAAAACCCTACCAGCATGTGGAACTGGTGCCTAGGAAAATTAGACCTCTGACCCCCACCAGCAGAACTGAATCCCCCCAGCCCAACTAGACCTGCAGGATGTAATAATGTCCAATGGCAGATGTAGGGTAATGGCATAGTCAGATAACATGGTCAGCTAGTTAATCTCCTTAGTTATTTAAAATACAGTAAGTCCTTTGGGGGTATCTCTTCTGCTGTGAAAAAGATTTGAATAAAAAGATCACATATATTCAGGCAGATAATCTTTGCTACGGCAAAGTACAATTCTGCACAAACAAGTACTTGGTTAACCTGTTAAAATATTAATCACTTGAGAAAAGGTCAAATGCATGAATATGCAGACTCAGGACAAGATAGTTGTCTGCCTTGTGTAGACACCTCCCTCTGCCAAGGAGGCCTCCATCACCCCCTCCTCAAGAGCAGTTCCCAGGAGCGTTTGAGGAGCCCAGAGAAGTTGGAGGCATTCCCAGCAGCAGTGGAGGACAAACATGGGGAGGGGGCATCGTTGCCAGTGCAGCAGCACATCTAGGGCAGTGGCTGTGAGACCACAGGGCTGGGCTCCCTCTTACAGGACACACATGGGCACTCTGCAGGGAGTTCAGTGAAGGGCCACCTTGAGGGCAGAGGCTGGAGCAAATGATATGCCAAGAGCTGGTTTGAGTCTGGAGTAGGGAAGATAAAGGGGGAATCCTCCTGCCGTCTCCAGCTTGTAATTGGAGGACATAGAGAGGATGGAGAGATGTGCAGTGAAAGGACCAATTGTACCAGTTTTTCCACAGTTGTGCTGTGGAAAAATTCGATTAGGTTTGAGGAAGAATTTCTCCATGAGGTTGGTCAAACATTGCAAACAAGTAGCCAAGGCAGAGTGTATGATTTTTCATCCTTGGAGATGCTTAGAAATCTACTGGACATAGCTCTGAGAAACCTGGTCTAACTGTGAAGTAAACTCTCAGCAGATGGCTTTCAGAATTTCCTTCCAGCCTAAGCTATTCTGCGATTCTCCTGGAAAGAGGAACACTGTCTCTGTCTAGAAAAACAGTGGTAGATGAGACAGGAGTGAGAAGGCAGGAATCTGACTGCTTTTAGAGAGGGGCATGGAGGAGAATGGCTGGAAAAGGGGAAGATTTTAGAGCTTTTCCTTTCCATGGAGTCCACAAATCTAGGAGTACAAGAAAAAACATGACTTGCAGTGTTTATTCAAGCATATTCTGGCCTAGCAGCAGTTTTTCCTCTTTGACCTACAGAGCAGTGGTAGAGATGAGCAAATGCTTTCAGCTCCAGCTGCCATATTGTCACTTATTAAATATCAGATTATAGCAGGATATATATACCCAGAGCTGATGCTGTATTTTATGGATGTGAAATCCAGTAAAGAGGTAAAATTGGTTTATAATCTCTTATATAACATAACAGAAACAACTTTTTTTTTGCAAAAAAGTGTGTTTGAAATAACACCAAGGAGATTGTCCTGCTTTGCTGAATTCAAAGAACTTTCCTAAAGAATTTGTTCTACTTGGTATTAGGAAGGATTTTTCATCATGATTTAGTGGGGGATAGGCCTGAATTCTTGCAAGATTAAATTTGTCATGAACCAGTCATACCTATTTGGGGAGCTCTAGGCTATTTTGAAAGAGGGAGTTTTATCATTTAAACACACAACACTGTATTGACTTGGTTATCCTGATTTGTATTTGCAAATGTGTGTATTATCCCAGAACATTATCCCAGTACAGCTCCAGTTAAACTCCATGTGGGAGTGAGGCTGCCTGGCTGCAGCCCGGCCCGTGTCCAGCTGGGGGCAACAATCTACAAGAGCAGCTTGAGAAACTGCATCCTGAAGGAACTTCCTGATAGACACAACCCAGTCACTGCACATTTATGATGTGGTCATGGTCAGAGGGTTGCTCACTGGAGGATGACTGGCAAAACAAATCTCCTGAATCTTTAATTTTTGTCTTTCTTTTTTTGTCTTTGAACAAGACATGACCTTTCAGGTTAAATGAGAAGCTCTTTTCTTTAATAGCACTTCCTCTCATTTTTTCTTTTTTTCTCCTTTTCGTATAACAGAAAAGGGTGAGATTTTTAGTGCATCTAAAAATCATGGTATATCCCAAGGGAAAAACTCACCCTCAGTCTGTGTTAATATTAGTCCCCACCTGAGAACCTTTTCCCTCGGATGGACGACAGACAATAAACCCAGGATTATTCCAAGCAAGTCTCAGCCTCCTGTGTCTAGATACTTTGAGTCCCTGTTGTATCTATTCCAGGATCCCTCTCCCGCCCCTGTTCTGTGAGGAGCTGTGCCTCCACACCACGGGGGATAGAACAGAGGGGTCCTCCCGAAGAAGATTGCAACACTTTCACCCTCTGCCAGCTACTGCCCATTCCAACCCTTTACCATTAACCAGAATTTTGGCACTGAATTCCATATTTTAATCCTCCACATGGAATGAAATGTGGAGGTAGGTAAGAATTTCATTAGGACAGGATAGATGCAGTCCCATGCCATGGTATTATGTGATTTTTATTACAGAAGCAAACAAAAGCTTGCATGGTACTGCAGTAGATGTTAGGTCTTCAGGCAAATACTGCTATTTAAGAGACAAACATCAAAATGAGGATAAAAGGGCAAAATGTTCTACTTTGATAGTCCCTAGCAACATCAATTTAAATATCTCATATTTGCAGTTCACTGTTCAACAGCCTTCAGGGTTTTGTATCATTGTTAGAGATAAGTAGCATTATTTTCCTGCTATACTGTCCTCCTTTAAATTAAAGTGGGGAATGTTTAATACTGTTAATTCCTCAGTCATCCAGATTCCTCTGGGGTTTAGTTATCCACAGATGCAGGTTATGACTGGGAAGTATTCTGATGCTCAGCTATGAAGTGCAGTGATGCATGAAACAATCTCTCATTTTGTGCAAGTTGCATCACATTTATTAGGATTTAATGTTTCTTATTTCTATCTTCATGTTCACCTTCAAAGCTACTCACTACTGCTGGACTCACTTTTAGTTTGGCGCTGGTTTTGGGGTTGGAGGGGTTTTCTTTATGACCCTACCTTTTTACTGTCTTAAAAAAGAATATAGATATATACACACACTTATGTATTTTTATATTGTGTAGTTTTCCTGGCGTATGTTTCTAGTCTTAAGTAAAATGTATCTTCACTCCCTGTGTCACAGCAGATTTGGAATGCCTGCAATAAATCAGGATGGATTTTTGTCCCCTGTTCCTAATTGGTTTATTTAAGGTTGAAATAAATCTGAGTATTTAACTAATCTCATTTTGCAAAATACATAAGCAGTACATAAATGCAAAAAGCACAACTGCCCTTACTTTGAGGCAAGATATTAATTCTCAAACCTTAGTGTCCTGTATTTTAGTTTTGTGGCATTTATTCAGCAAAATTTCTGTTTCTCAAGTAGTTGACTGTACATTCAAGTAAAATGTTTTGTTTGTCTCAGTTTAATGACACCAAGTCAGCTTGGTGTGCTTTCTTCATTTGCTGTCTTTTCTTTGCCATTAGTTATCCCTCGGTATCTTTGCCTGGAAACTAATCAACTCATCTTCCTGAGCAAGTCAGATACAGTTAACATCAGCTTATAAAAATACTCTTTTGCTAAAACTTAGGTCAGCTGCCCCTCCTGTGCTGGCTTCAACACATCCAGCTCTCTGATCTTTTATGAGAAATATAATGTCTATTTATCTGTTGTCTGACCTCAAGTTATCCCCAGGCTGATTTATATATGTAATTAGCTTAATTTCCCCATCACTGGACTGTATACGACTACTACCCTGCATGTGAAGTGCATCCAACATTTCTTCTCTCTTTATACTTGCACTGTAATATCTAAGCCTGATAAATATTTAATGAAGCTCATCTCTTTGCAGACTTGAATGTAGTTTTAATACTGCCCTACTGTTCAGCCTTATTTTTTAGTGAGCTTGGCTAGTTAAGTGTCTCCACGAACAGAGATAAGCCAGAATGTGCCTGAGTCAGCTTTTTTTTGTATTTCCGATGCCTCCTGCCTGTGCTGGCTGTGTCACACCTATGTTTAGGGGCTAAAAGTGGGTGCTAACTAAAGCTTTCTATTTATTTGGGGTTTTTTTTTCTTTTCAGGTTTCAATTCTAGGCTGCCCTGATCCCAAGGTTCATGAGATTGCATACCAGTATGGAAAAAATGTTGGCATAGCTTTTCAGGTAGTGTTTTTGTTGAACTAAATGGAATCTAAAATCTAAACTTCTCCAAAGTGCTGAAGAAATCAAAGTGGGCTGTCTTAATCATTCCTACAAATCTTGTCCTTAACAAGGATTATTCTGTATTTAGCTCTAATTTTTTTAAAAGAAATTTTAAATAATTTGTATATTTTTTCCAGCTGATAGATGATGTGCTGGATTTTACATCATGTGCTGACCATCTAGGGAAACCAACAGCAGCAGATCTCAAGCTTGGATTAGCTACAGGTCCCGTCTTATTTGCTTGTCGACAGGTAAGTCAGCAGGAAGCCATTTCCTCAAAATAAAAAGTGTTAACTGCTCCTCACAGGACCAACAGAAACACATCAAATCTCCAGTGTCAGTGATGAGAGAGGCTTGGGCATGTGTGACAGATCAGTGTGTTTGATATCAGATGGATTCTATGCACACACAAGTTACGAGAAACACCTTCCTGCACAACTCTACCTACTGTTAGGCTCTTGTGGTATTCAGAGAGTTTTGGCACATTTTGTATAGGTTATTCCTAAGTAGCTTCTTGCTTGTTTTCTCCTGAGACATCATCCCAGGCTTGATTCTTTTTTGCCTTGCTCTGGGCTTTGTATCCACCTGGGGCCAAGAATTGAAATCCCTGTCTTGCCTTTAGGTGGGTACCTTTATTTGTTGGATCTGATCTCTTAATCTCATTGTCCTCAAGTATTATCCAGTTACAAACACAGGTCGCTTTCCTGTCAGAAGGTTGGGTAAGAGAAAAGAGTGTCATAAATAAAACATGGTCAATAAAATTGGTCAAGATTTTCAGAGCCTAAAAAATTATTTGGAGGAGCAGAATGAAAACAGAAGTGTGAGCAACATGAAAAAAATATTAAAATTGGTGCTAATCCATAAACAGGGAAGAAACTGGTTTAATTCTTTGCTCCAGTGTCTTGTTCACCAGAGGCAATCAGATTTGGGACTTAAAAAGCAGTCCTTCCTACCAGATTTCACAGTGTGATACAAAAACTGGCACAATTAGTTCCAGCAGAGCTCTTGTCTATGATCTCTCAGTGGAATTACTTAGAGCTTGACATGGGAAAAGTTATAAATCATTTAAAACAAAAAAAAAGCCAAATTTGACATTTACTTCCCCCTCCAAAAGAGCCTGTTGTAGGGGGAGGTGGAGCACCTCCAAAAGAGCCTGTTGTAGGGGGAGGTGGAGCATACACATTTGTTTGCTTCCATATCCTTTGGGCATTTACAAGGATCTGTATCTCAGAAAAGACAGGAGAGCACAGAGTATCAGCCAACTGACAAAGGAGATGAATGCATATTGAGGACAACGTTCTCCATGTCCTCAGTGTCTTCCCATACTCATCTGGGGGACTCACAAGCATGTTCATGAATCATTATTTCAGAATGGTGTCATCAGCAATTGGAGCTGTCCAAAGACCAGTGAGACACTCAGGTAGAAAGGGAGCATGGAGTTGTAAAACTGGTTTTGTGTGTGCTAAAGCTGTGTGTAGAAGGAAACAAGGCATGTTGAAAATACCCAATTTTCATGGTACAGCAGTAGATGTTAGGTCTTGTATGTTAGATGTCAGAGAATGGGTGATACTGATTGTCATGTGGGTGTTGAATATTCCAATTTTTAAATTAAGACTACTCTTCATTAATTTGTTAGGGTTGTCTGTCTCTGACTTTGAACTTCATCTATCTTTTAATTAGCTTTACAAGATAAATTAGTTTGTAATACAGAAATACAAGAAAAGAAAATCTGCCAGTCCTATTTTAAAATCTTGTTCTTTGTAGAGCTTTAAATGCTTAAAGTGACTTTTAAATGTCACTTTTAAATGCTTTTCCTCATTTGTATCTTTGATAGATGGGAAGAGTACATTTTTGCATTGAAAGATAACTTGACCATCTTAAAAGTTTTCTGCATTAAGCAGAAGGCTTCTTTGCTGAAAATGTCCTGCTGTTTTCAAGAAACTGGAAGAACAGCACTACAGACTTAACTGATATATAAACAAAGCACGAGTGCTAAAAAATGTGGAGCTTCAACAGACACCTATTTGTGATGCTACTAAAAGATATTTCATATTTTTGTATCTGAGAAAAAAACTCATGAGCCAGGACTTGAAGACAGCCCAAAGTGTAATTATTAATTATAGGCTGTCTTTTCAGATTAGTATTGCTCTATTCTTTCATGTAGCTGGTAGTCCTCAAGTTGTCTTCCTGACAAACATTTGTTCATTTTTTATGTGCTCTGGATCATCAGAGTGACAGATGCCTTTTCTTCTTATGCTCTCCCATCCCCTCCCTCTAAAATACACCTTTGTGCATTAGAATATTAAGGAGAAAAAAATGTTTACCTTGATATAAAACCTATTTATTCAGTATTTAAAGTTAGGTCACTCGGTAAAAAAAAAAAAAAAATCCGCCCCATTTACTTTTTAAGGAAATACACTAGTGTATGCTAATTCTAAAGCTCCTCTTAAATGAGTACAGCTGAATAATGAAGGTCTATTTTTATTATAAACATTCCTGTTAAATGCTGATGTGCTGCCCACTAAATATGCAGAGTTGTTAATAACAGCTCTGCCTTACAAGTTTGGGGATTTTCCTGTCCTTTAGTGCTTAAATATAAAAAGTGATCCCATATGGATCTTATATATCTGTAAATATGAATACTGTGAAAACTGATTGCATGAAGAGTGCAATTAAATTGTCATTACCTGGGAAGGAAGCTAGGATCTAGAAAAAGCCGTGACTTTCTTCTTTTAGATAAAGTATGAGTCACCACTGAACTTCTGAATGCATCTCCAAGATGATGTATGAGTAATAGGAAAATGTCGCAGCACAGAGGGGTGCTACATGTTTGTACCTGAACAAGGTTGTAAAGCTGCAGTTGCAGGACAAAAGGTGTGCAAGGAAAGCAGATCATTGTTTAAAAGTGTACAGCAATAAAATTATCTGTTTGGCTCTTACTTCTTTCAGGAAAAATGAACAAACAGCTCTTTCCCTTAAAAAGAATTATTCTGTGGAGTAGCTGCCTTGAGTTGTGGCCTTATTTTGCTAAGCATTAGGTTTTTCTGTTTCTAGGCTGTCTGAAGAAAGAGGTTGCATATATAGCTAAGTGATGTGATTTTTCTCAAAACAACAGACTTGAGTTACCTGCTTGATTCGCAGGGAATTGAGCATGCAGTGCTAACTACAAATGATATGTGACTGAAAACAAAATACCTTATAGTTGTAATTTTTCTCTTAAAAAAAAAATATGCATATGTAAAATACCACCACAATGGAAAATGTAGGAGAATGTCATGAGAACATGCCAGTGTTACCACAAGGGAGTTTTTACAAGTTGAACTGTGCAATATTGTAAAAACAAACATCCTCGGTTCTTTTGTAGGTGTGGGGGTAGAGGTGCTTCCTCTAGGACTGCCAACACTAACCATTCATCTGTGATAGAATATCTGATGCACATTATACACCAGGTAGTAGCCACATCAGAAATTACCACACTGGAGCATCTGCTTAACATGATAAAATGGCAGGTGCCGACTTCTGCTACCAACTAGCTACAGCCAGCAGAGCCAGATGGTTTAAGTTTTCAATGCTTGGGCTCTGCTATACTGTAGTCCTGTGCAGACTGCAAGTACAAACCTAAAGCTATACCTGTAAGCAATAACAGTGACAGGGGAAGAGGGCTGCACTTGGCGTTGTTCTGACCTTAGCATGGCAGGCAGCTACCTGGAAAACAACTCAAAAGCAAACACAAACCCTTCTCCCTTTGTGCTTAGTTTCCAGAAATGAATGCTATGATAATGAGGAGATTCAGTAAGCCAGGAGATGTTGAACGTGCACGGAAATATGTGTTGCAGGTAAGACTAATACCAAATATTTCTACTCTCCCTGCTGCTCAGTCTGAAATTGTCCCTCAAGTAAAATAGCAAGGCTGCATTGTCAAATACCTCCTGATAGCATGCAGTGTACAATGCCAAGTCAGAGCTCCTCAGCTCTCCTACTGGCACAGTGTTTTAACACAAATGCTAGGTACTGAAGAACTTTTTTTTTTCTTTTTTCCCTCCAGTTGCATAAAATCCGCATAAGTAAAAAGCTCATGCATGAACCCAGTTCCTTCAGCTGAGGCATAGCTGTATTCAATAGCTGGTATAAGTGGCACATAATTACCAGTCAGTCTTGTAACTGCAGTGCACACCCCATACCAGTTTTAATTGACTCTGGTCTAAAAAGACTGAGTAATGGTCTGTGCAAAATTAATACCTATTTTTCAGAATAGCATGGAGGTTTTGTACATCTCTATTTAGGGCAGGAGGGGAAGGGATAAACCATTAATTTCTAGTTTGCTATCAATACCAGTGCTGTTTTGTAATGGTTGAGTTGGTGTTTTAGCATGGATGAGTTTTAGTACTTTGACAGTCTGGGGCAGGTAGGTGGGCTTCCCCGATTACAGAATGAATCCTCTTCCTTTCCCCATCAGAATATAATGTGTTAGGGTACTTACTGACCTTAAAACTTCCCCCTGTGACTAGAAGAGGCAGAAGGCTGGTCAGAGTTCACCATTTCCTATCTCTGTCTCCTTCCATCAGAGTGATGGTGTGCAGCAAACGACCTACCTCGCCCAGCGCTACTGCCACGCCGCCACGCGCGAGATCCGCAAGCTGCGGCCGTCCCCCGAGAGAGAGGCCCTCGTCCACCTGACAGAAATGGTTCTCATGCGAGACAAGTGAGAGAGCTCCTTCCACTCATTCTGGCAGCTACTTACCAGACTGTGCCTAAATTTATTTCAAAAGTTATTTGCTTCCAACACAAGCTACCAAAAATTATTTTTTTAAAAAAAAAATCTTTTTTTTTTTAAGTTCTTTTTTTTAAAAAACAAAAGTTTGAAGTCTTTTACTGCAGGAAGCCATGCAATTCAGAGCAAATCAAACTGTGCTGTACAATTGTTTTAGCGGGGGCTATTGATTGTGGGGGATGGGGAAGATGTTTACATGTTGATGCACAAAGGCCACAATGAGAGTAAATATAAATCAGTGTATGAAAACTGAATTTGTTCCAAGTTTCACTTGTTTACACTAATAAACAGAGCATGCATGTACAGGAGCTGGTAAACTCCTGTGAAGAGAGATGGTTTGGATGCTTCCCAGCTGTTTAACAAGCCCCTGGAATTGTATATAGAGATACTGGTTTACTGTAAAAGACTACATGTGGATTTACCTGGTTATATGAGTTCCAATTCATGCTATTGGTGGCTACCAATGATGCAGAATTTGAGACTGCTACCAAATGAATGCTTTTGTACAGAAAACGAAAGGCTTGGTATTTCTAACTCACACTAAAAATGAATGATTCACCAGCCAGTCAAACCTGCAACTCCATCACTTTCCATCACTCATTTATAGAATATATTCTGTAGCACCCTAGAAGCCGCCTTTGAAGTCCCAGACACATTCCTCTCACAGTAATTACCCAGTACTACCACATTCCTTCTGAGGTTATTTCAGCCACAGAATCTGTAGAGCAGGGAAGCACACCCTCTCTGGCTATCTGTGCCTGTGATCCCCTAACAATGGCCAGGTTCCTGTCACATGTGCTCCCCTGGGTGCTGTCTGGAGGAGAGCCTGCTCCTGCTCCCTGGGGCACTCCCCAGAGCCACACAGAATGTTCCCACACACAACTGTCAGCTACTGATCCTGTCCAACTTACTGCATCCAGCTAACTAGATTCAATCAAGTACTCTCACTAAAATTAAGTGTTGTCAGGAAAGAACTTCTAAGAGTATGTATAAGTGTGTAATTCAGGTTTCAGATCTAATTTATTTGCCCTCTGTCACTGATAAAAGTCATGTTACAAATATTTGTTTTTTAGTACATTGCCTGGGATAACACAGCCACGATTTTGCTACGTTAGCATTCCAAATTTCTTTGCCAAGCCAACCAAAAAAGTAATGGACAAGACCTTCGGTTCACTTATATATTTATGAATGGAAAAAGTCAATGTAAATTTACTCATTAAAAAAACTTGGGTACAAATTACACATACATAAGACCACCCATTTTTTGAATCACATGGACACCTTAGACCCAAACAACTCATTGTAATAGACTTTAGTGAGAATACTCCAGGTAAAGATTACAACAATTGGAAGCATCTTGGATTTTTAAAAAAGTATATTTCAATACATAAGTTTGTATGCATGCTTTAAACAAATATAGTTCAAGAATGAGCAAAGAGTCTAAACAAAAAGTAATATGACCAGCACTAACATTAAATTTCTCATCCAGGTTTTAATATGTTAGTCTAACGTAGTGTTAGTTACCATGCTGTACTGAAAAATGTAATGGCACAATCTGATCATGGTTCATTAAATATTATACCCTACTTCCCCATAATATTTAGGCTGGTCATAAAATTAACAATGTATAAGTAAATAAGTATAACCAGTTATAGACAGTTGCTTGTTTTACAAATTGCCATCAGGTAAGACATACTGTCCCCAGAGACTAAGAGATGGACATTCAATCATACCATTAAAACAGTATGGCCTGAAGAAATGGGCACAACTTTGAAAGTATATTAAGACAATTCTGTTAGCTTTTAGTTACCCCTTGTAAATAATCATGGTATGACTTTAATACAAGACCAAACTTTGAAAAGCAAAGGATTTTAATCGGCATAGTGCATGATTGATTCAACGTAATTCCCAGGAAACAAGCCAGTTACTCGATTGCAAACTCCTTCATACCAGCCATCATCATTCTTCTTTATCACGTAAATGATTGCACCCTCCATAAACGACAGCTCATCGTCTTTGTCTTTTGTATAGTCATATATAGCAACAACTGTGGAACAAACAGGGACACATTTAGCATTTTATAAATAGCAACAGTATTAAAAAAAAAAAAAATTGTACTTCAGAAAATGTTAAAACATTAGTTTGCTATCCTGGGATTCTCAATAATGAATTCTCATGCTTTTCCTGTTGAACATTAAGCCCAGAAAATGGAATTTCACTTTCCTTGCAACATTAGCTAGCACTAAGAAGTGGGTGGTGACTACAATGAACACTCATTTAAGCTGCTGACAGAGAAGTACGTTTGACTGTGACACCGTAAAGTGCAGCTTATAGACACTTAAAAGCTGAGTTGGGCAGTAACTGACTTGTGTGGTACCCATTTCTGACCAGATTACCTCCAAAGCATGTGGATCCCTTTATATGAATCTCTTAATTAGAACACGGCTAAAAAAATTTTACAAAAATCATTCCACTGTTGGCACCTTAAAGTGGGCTTGCACACATCGCTGCTAAAGCCATTGCACACAAATGAATAGTCTTTCCTGTAGAACTTCTATGTCATAAAGAGTTCTGGCATTACTTTTCAAGGAGCTGCACTGAGTGCAAGTAGGAAAGTTGCTGAAGAAGAATGTAGAAGCAACATCTGTTATTTTCTGTACCTGCTTGGTGTGTACCTTACTCTTACCAACCGCCAACTTGCTGTGTGTGATTAACAAAGCGGAGATTTCCCCAAGGAACAAATGTTGCCACCACAAATACTGGAGTTAAAAACTTACCACTGTGAATATACAGACTTCAGATATCATAGCCTTACCCTTCAGAAGTTAATATGGATATGCAATTGATCAGCTTTATGAATTCCAAGAATCCACTATTTTACACCTACGTATGTTCTCTGATATCTGATGTCTTAATGCCTAGCAATGATGTGCTGCATCGGTTATTTTCATCCCATGGGTACGTCCTGCACACAGTCCAGCTCGAGTGAAGATGGAACAGAGGAGCTCTGCCACAAATATCACCAGTGCCTGGCCCCATTTCATACTCACTGCAGCACTGGCCAGCTCATGAGAAAACTGGCAACACTACTGCTGACAAAATGGTCAGTGCTACAACACAGATAACTCCACAGGCAGGAAATCTGCTTGTCCATTATTTATGGGAAGAGATGTTTAATATGTGACTTCATACCTAAGCACAGTTCACAGTCTGCTGATCTGGAATCACTGATAAATCTCCAACGAGGCCTCAACACATTTTATAGTTCAAAGGCTAATAATCCACTCTAGTAATCTAGTTTGATGAGATAAATACAGCTTGGAATTTCTGTCTGTTTTGCAGCAGTTTGTAGATGACTGCCCAGCAATCCTGAGGTAGGTACAGACAGTCCAGCTCATAAAGATGAAAGCCATCCCATTTACATCTGCTTATTATGAAGAAGCTTTCTTTTTCATCCATTCTAAAATGCTTGAAGGGATTTTATAATTTGTCCAAAGAAGGATTATGTCTTACCACATTAGGTGTGGACAAACTACAGAAACCATGGTTTGCGTTCTGACTTAGGAGAGACAATGACTTTTTTCATCAAAACCATGCTAAGTCTTTCATTCCCTTCAGATACCATTAATCCTCTGATACTGCACTAACACAGCCACAATGCTTCTCTTACCTTTCTCTATGTAGTTTTTAGGTGCCCAGGCAGGATCTCCATCTGCATAGGGATCGCTGTACTGCACAACAGCAGCTTCCTCATCCTCATAATCCACGGGGGGTGGGGGTGGAGGAGGAGGAGAGTCATCAAACATCGGCATCTCATCAGGAGGTGGAGGCGGGGGAGGAGTCGGGCTATCAGCAACTAGAAACATTTGGACATTATTGGTTTTTCTTAAATCAAGACAGTGTAGAGATGCAAACAAACCTGAGGCTGTACACTGTAAATAAAAGGGTTGGGGGGGACAACACACACAGCATGCACTATAATACCATGCACTGATTAGAAACAGAGGCTTTGTATTAACAACTACAACACATAACTATATTTGTTATTAGTGGTCAAATCTATGTGTAAATGCTACTAGAGTCAAAGCACATGCTGCGGGGCATAAGCTGAACATCAGCAGAGAGGAAAGCTTCCTGCTCCAATGTCCATGCGCTGCAGCGTTAGCTATGGAGGACTCCGAGTGGCACCCTCTGAGCCAGGCAGCAACAGGCCTTTGACCGGGCCAGCAGCTTGATTGGTTTTTAACAAATCCTTTGTTCGCAACTTGAAGTCACTTCAATTTACTCCTGAACACTGCTTCCTTGGATTCTTTCTCTCTCAGAGCTAGCATGAGGGAAGAAAAAGATCTGGTGTGGATCATAAATACTAGTCTCTTCCCTTTTTAAAGATTTAACCAGGTAAGAGGAGGCCAAGCGATTCTTCTGCAGGAGAAAAGCTTTGTACAGATCCTTATCTTGCAGAGTAGCTTGTGTGTGCGCACACATTCAGGAGTCAATTAACAAATGGAAAACTATGATAGGCAGCTGCTGCTCTTAGAGAAAAAGTGCTCAAGGAATCAAATGAAATAAACCGAAATGTCAAATCCCTGCCCTGAGATTCTCCAATCAGCACAATTACAAGTTGCTTTGGGAAAGGAAAAAAGAGAAAGGCATTACAATACAAATCACTTTTAAAATCAGTTCATTAAATTAGTTTCCAGTAATGTTGACAGCACCTGGCAGCGAGATAAAGAGATGGCATACTCAGATGCAGGACATCAAGTCACTTTGTCCTATCCTTAGGGAGATGTGGACCACTACACACGGACCTGGTGTAAGCACTATGAAGCCCCAAGTTACTGAAAGGAAGCTACTGTTACTAACACCAACTTGGTTACATAGCAACACAGATTCATTTTCAAGAGCTGAGATTCTGCATGCTGAAAACACAGGCTGAAAACCACTGCTCTAGGCAGGGTTTGATGGAACAAGGCATCAGGCCCCAGAATGTGCAGCTCCAGCACACAAATTTTGAAAAGAAAGCCAAGGCCCTGGCAAGGGACTCAGGCACAGCTCCCATGTCCTGTCTGGGTCAGACTGGCTGCACTGGGACAGGTCTGGCACCTGCTGCCATGGGCAAAAGGAGGCAGGAGCTGCTGGGGCAGGGGCTGTCCTCAGCCCAGGATCCAGCCCACTCCCTTCCCTTGAAGGGCCAATTCTTTACCTGCAAGCCCAGCTCCTCTTCAACTTGACTAGCTGAGCTGAACACCCCACA